TCGACATTTCGTAAAGCAAGAGCGCTATCACATTGCGCAGCAGTGGATAAATATTTTATCTGGACCAAAGCGGCGGCATTTGACTTTTTTGTTTAATCGTCCGCTTATTATGAGCGCACTGGACCGCCTGCTCTGTTTACCAGGACTGTGGGCTGGTCTACAATTGGGAAATTGGGCCAAGCATCTCGCCGCCCACATTGATGAACTTATTATCAACTACCTGGCCCACATCAGCGATTCATATGAGAAGATTTTTCGCGGACATGAAGATCTGAAACATTTGCTTGACGAATCAACCGTAAGGCAAATCCAGAATCGCGCTCCCCTCTGGTCTTCAAATGATCGCCACTATATTGAAGAGGCGTTTCGACAGAAGATTATTTTTACAGATATACACTCTCAGGCCGTATTGGCAAAACTGGAACAAAATCTGCTTTCTTTTGAAACAATCATTCCAAGTATACAAACATTTCATCAAAACATGAAATACATTACCATTGGAATCAAAATCTTGGAAAAGTATATAGCGGTACAGCCAGCGGCAACGAAGAAAGGTGATATAACAAGGGCAAGGCCAAGTCTTATTGATAACTTGAAGAACGACTGGGTTGGAAGTACTACAACAGGTCACTTCCAAGTTGATCATGAGAAATTCATACCTACTACGGAGGCAAACGCAGAGACGTCAATTGCTCAATTATTAATAGCGGCGCTTCGCTACTTTCCGCTGCTATCTATGGAAGCGCCACTGCAAGATGTTGATTGCGAATGGAAGACTCCCGAGCCAAGTGATTATAGCACGCTAATCCGGCGAACGGCGCTTCAATTGGGCTTTGACAACCCAAAAATCAGGAAAGACATCGGCAATGCTACAATAAACTATCCGCTATACAAAAAGCCATTTGCTAGAAGGCGGTGGCGTTCTGGAAAGCTACCGTGCCATTCGTTCGCGTTGCTGTTTAATCAGTCATTTTTTCTGCAACTTTTTGGACAGCCGTTTGAGCAGTCGACTGTCGTAACCCCCCTGCGCACCCAGAGTGCTATGTTACGGGCGTTCTTCAACTTCTGGGAATACTACGCCACTCCCGCAGCGCCTTACATGGATGTGGCAGAGGCAGGTATGGAAGTAGAGGAATCTCGGTGGGAGGAGACTCCGTGGGCGGAGATTTTAAGCTCCCTAGAGAAACCAGCGCGCTTTAAGAGGAAGAGGGCTCAACCACTTCAAAATAACCAAAGAGCCGGAGAACACTGGGAGGTGCCGCCCGAAAACACACAGGAAATGCAGATGGTCCCATGGGTCCCATCAGTCCATGCAGCTACAGTGTCTCAGCGCCAACTCACTATCCTCGAAGAGACCCTACCTACTCCGAATAACCCTCCGACGCGACCTATTGAAGAATTCAGCGACGACGATGATGATAAACCTGCCATCGATAACAGGAGAAAACGTGGCGAGTTTCGTCCACTCAAAAGGGCCAAACCCACCTTGGATTTTGCAGATACTAGCAGGCCTATTCCATTTACAGAGCCGCCAGCAGAGCCGCCAGTAGAGCCGCCAGCAGAGCCGCCAGTAGAGCCGCTTGTAGAGCCGCTTGTAGAGCCGCTTGTAGAGCCACCTACAGTTACAGAGTCAGATACTGAAATGGTTGTGGACCGAAATATCATCCCAGAACTAACAGCAACTGTTAATAAAAAGGGCGCGCAGGCAATAGATCCTGATGAAGATGAAGATATAGTTGGTGGCATTGAATAATAAAGCTAATACTGTCATCTACTGCATCCAAAGCAGCTTTTTAACTAGTACTAGATACTAAATACACTTATGTAGCAACACTATTATACAGTACAAAGCCAAATGAATGTCGTGGACTAGCTAGAGATTATAACAATGATCTGTGTTCAGTTGGATTGTGGCTTCATTACAGCCCTCTCAAGTCACACTTCAGGAATTTCGCTACATGTTTGTAAACACAACACAACCAACGGGAGAAAAGATTACTCTTTGGACGTTTATTGAACAGATAGGAGAATAGAAACTATATAAAAATATCTAGGAGAAAATATAAAGTTATTGTTCTAGATACATAAACCTCTCCGTGGAGATTGTTTGCTGCGAATAAGCGGGCGGTTGACCCTTTTCTGAGTACTCTGGAGGCACGTTTAGAGTACTGTGCGGGTTTTCAGCCGCTTGTGTTAATATTGGTTCAAACTGCTTTCCATGCTTGCGCCAAACAGCCAGACTAGCTTGCCATTTTAATACCTTGCTCCGATTCTGCCACTTCCCCGGCTCAAGAAAAACTACATTAGCTTTCTCAATAATGTCCTTTAGACCACTTGCACGTTTTTCCGGGTTGTCCATGTAATCCATAAATAGTTTCGGGCATAAGACAAGGCGAGCATCATAAGTCGCAGGACTATGATACATTTGAGCAAGATGTGCCAAGTATATGTTTGCTACAGCTTCTTCAATTGAGTCTTGGTCTTTAGAATTTTGTGTTCTAGAAGGTTTACCAAAGCGTTTCCATGAGTAAGAGCCATCAGCATTAGCCTCTAGAATTAAACAAAGCTCTGGCGTCTTCAATTCTTCTAACAATAGCAAAAGCTGTTGTCGCATAATGGAAGAGTCAATCCAGTTTGGAAAGCTTTTGAGCCACGGACTGCGCTCAAGAAAAAGGCGTGTAAATTTTCGGAAAACTATGTGAATTAGAACATTTTCAGAAGAAAAAATCTTCCCCTTTTTTCGGGCAGCAAGACTTACGCATACTCAATATTTGCCAATATTGCTGTTAGATCTGCAGTGGCGAAAACAGAGGTATATAGACTGGATATGCTATTAGACCTCAACCGGAAACAGACTGAGATGCTGCGGCTATATGTATATCTGTAGATTCTAAGCTATAGCTTGTCACAATACGCATGCACATGTATATGAACATGTGTTTTATATAAGTCTGCTTCATCTACCAATATAAGTCCCGTCATCTTGTAAAACAAGTCCCATAATTGATACAAGCAATGCTTGTCATCTGGCAAACTAGGGTCCCTCATCCGCTAAATCACGCCATCTCATCCGCCCAACACAGTACTAATGTTCTTGTCATCCCTGAAATCAGAGGCCTCTCCATCCGCTAAATCAAGTCCTCTCATCTGTAAAATCAGGAGGGTCTCCGTCTTCATCCACGAAACTAATCCAACGGTCCGCAAGCCCGATAAGGCCAACTCTGTACATGTACTTGCGTATTCCCTAGGACACATGAACATTTGAAGTTTTCCCATCCGCCAATTCCCACAGCCCAAGGCCACTTACACATATCACCAAACTATACATGAGAAGCTGCCCCAATTCGTTTATGAAACCTATGGCTTTCAATTTCTTGCACCCATTGCATGAATTTGCGCTATATTTAAAGAACACATTGGCTTACTTAGGCCATCTCTACTTAATGCAAAAATATATCGCCGCGTATTAATGACAGTACTATTTACATATGCTCAGCCCCAGATGTTATCAAGTCTTGCTCAAAGATATAACAATTCGACAAGAGGGATGTTCTTGGCAAATAAAGCGCACAGGCTCGCAAAGCATGATCTGCGACTTCCTTGATTCTTGAATTTGTGACGGAAAAGTCCCTACTGAAATGGAACTTAGAGACAGGCCCCCATGAGTTATCAGCGCGCAAAGACAATACATTCACTTACATCATCATTTCGGCTTTATCATTGTATGCAGCCGCGATGAAAATTGATCCGCTGATGAGATCTGCCCAGCGTTTGGCGACTCTCACGCGGTTCTGTACCTTTTGGCGCAGAACTTTTGGTGAAAAAGGTTCAACCTGGGCTTTGACATAGAGGTCAATGAGTATACTAGCGTTACCTTGACCGACGCGTCTGCGCTGCCTTCCTCTTCGTGCAATTATGGATTTAATGGCAATTAAGACTCGGGTTAGCTGCACGTAAGCCAGTCTTGATCTCCAAAAGTATTCTCCGCTGTGGAGGATTGCATCATCAATAATTGCAAAGGCAGAAGTGATTAATGGATCATTAATGGCGACATCTGCTGGTATGGAAGTTTTTCTTGCAAGCCAAGACCAGAAGTCGTGGATTTCCTGGCAATGACATTCAAAAAAAGGCAGCGCATTCGGTTGAATTATTGATTGAAGCAGATTTAAATCAATATCTGGTGGCGTACTATGTATGAATCGATGTGTGCCGCCAGCTTCAATCTGCTCTAGCGTGCAGGCGTCAAAAGCAGATGCCTGCGTGTCATCATCTATGTCCATCTCCATGGGCAACTCTTGGAGAGCTAGAACTTGCTGATCTGCCATTTTACAACTAGATTTCATATAGCGATAACCACTCCAATACTATTATTGCAATAACTAGAGACTTCCGCGTCATTTATACAAAAATTGCAAGACTCTCAGTGATCAATATTAGTACAGGTTTAATCCAAGCCTGTGCAGTAAGTACTTACAGTAACTGTCCTTAGATAAGCAACTATTATACTCCATTTGCTGTACTAGTTTGGACACCGATTTACATAACCTACAGATATAATAAATTGCTTCAGTCCCAGGTTTTGCTCAACTTCGTTATTCGCAGCTTCAGACCTAAGTACAAACACTTTTTCACACGCCAGCGTATTCTCTATCATATCATGGAAAATCTCACATGCGAGCAGTAAGATTAATGAATACATGTGCTCAGCTACATCCGCGAGGAACCACTAACAATATTAGCTGTCACACGCTATTTTCACCTTTTACAGGAGAAAATCAAGCGAGCATCCTATGCGCTCATCCAGCTTGCGATAGTCGGAGCAAAGAAGATGTCCAGAAGCTTCGCAAAAACGAATCAACAAAATTCTCAAAGCGGCGAAAAACACTCCTTCAGAAAGCGCACAATCTACACAAAGATTGTGGCGTTGATATCTATCTTGTAGTACGGAACAGGCGCAATAATCAGATATGGCAATACTCGAATGGATACGTTCCACCATTAGTCTCAGAATTTGTAAGTGTATTCGAGATCTATAAAGAGAAGAGAGCTAATACAATCTGAAGGAAAACGTATACCCCGTCCCAATTCTCTCATCTCCAATAACCATGGAGTCCAGAAAAAAAGCTATGGACTTTACTTTGATTGACCCGAACCTTCATCATGTCCCTCAAAATTTATATCTTTGATTGCGGTCGGAGTGGTTGGACTATTTGGAGTAAAAGAAGCGCCTTCAGATGGCACGGGCATGTTCTAGACAAGTGTGAGGAATGGATCATATATAGGATATAGTGTAATACAATACCAGCTTCTCTCCTATCTCCGTGTAAAGCTGATGAAACTCTTCTCTCATGTAAAGAGATTCAGCCCGAATAAGTGCTTTTGTTTTTTTGTGAAAAGCTTCCGCTTCTTGATGAAGTGTTTCCGCGTGGCGATGAAGATTTTCTGTCTGCTTCTGGATTACATGAGCTTGCTTCAGGATCAAGCAAGCCTCTTCTTTCACAAGAGAAACAAAAGTTTCAGGGCCTGGACGCTCTTCGGATTGCTTGATCTGAGTTATGGGCCGTGGCTCAAGCTTGAGAACAAAAGGTATGTGCTGACTCGCGCGAGGGTCCGCACTTCCATTTTCAGGGCGAAGGTTTGGGAGTGATGAACGTGGCTTTGGCATTTTGAGATAAATAGAAGGTGATCAAAGCTTAGTGGTTTGACTAGATAATTTTCTTTGCATGTGTATACAGATGAAAGATAATGAAGACATGGAGATGGGAGGTCTTATATAGATAAAAAAAAAGAAACCATAGCTTGACTTCCTTCGTGCTAAACAGCCCGCAGATCCATTACAGCCCAAATTCGTCTGCCAAATACGTCCTGGTAGGCCTACGCCGCTAACGCAAAGAAAACGGTGACAGTGGAGACCAATGCTAGGTAAAGGGTAGCAGTCAAAGGCTCATTCCAGGTTGATGAACTTGTAGTGTCATGAGCGGGTATTTGAGACTGCGTTGGCTTTGGGGGGACCTTGAGCGCTGGCGGATGTGATGCATTGCTTCCGATTGATCCAGGATGCTGCAAGCATGTTGTTGGTTGGACTTTTGCAGTAAAATTGTCCATCTTGAGAGGGGGCACTGATGACAGACACCCCCTCCCCCCCCAGCCTGTAGTGGGTCGAGGAGAACCTGCATGCGAGCTGTTGGTTGTTTGTGTACCTTTCTCCACTGTGATTGTGAATCCAGTGTCTATACAAGCTACGAATGTTGGCTTCATTTCGGGCTTCTCCGTACGATGTCGGTATGGTTCTTCGCCCACGCATCGACTGAATAGGTTAGCGATGAGAAAAAGTGCTCAAGGATTGAAGTCTACGGAGTATCCAAACCAAAGAATTTTAGTTTTCCCACCCCCGCTAGTGCCAATACACTGAAAATCGCCTCCATGTTTACAGCCCACCTTGATCGGAGGAACACTTCTGTAACGGAGTTAACACGCGGTGCAATGCATGCGGTATATTTCCTTGAGGTGCAAGAGCGAACTTACATTGAAGCGACGCTTCCTTGATTAGCTTCAAGCTTAGGTGGAGACGCTGTGGAATACAAGGGCTCTGCAAGAAGCAGATTGAACAAGAGAGCCAGAGGCATAAGTTGGATGAAAAGGCGCATTGTATGTCGACGTAAGTAGTGATAATAGATTGCTGTCGAAGTAGGCCAAAGAAATTGAGGATAGCGTGTGTGGTCCAGTGGAACTTAAGTACCAAAAGATAGCGCCTATTACATGTAGGTAAGCCCAATAAAAGGCATCGAATCTTCCCAAATCGTGCCCAGATTAATTTTAATCCTGGACTACGGTTAATGTGGTCTATTAAGAACATCATCCTACTTATCTTCATTATCTCAGACTTAGTCCTACAGCCAAGATGGCACCGCATGATCAAAGCAATAGTCAACAGAATACCGCTGAGCTAGGCCTCTCAGTAGCGTCTCCTCTTGGTAAAAATGAGGAAGCAGAATCTGTGCTGCCTTTCAACTTGTCAAGCCTCACTACAGAATCCTTATCGTCGATCGTGTTTCAATCACATCCTACTTTAAAACTGGAGGATATTAACGGTTCTCAACTTCGGCTATCTAACAGTCGAAGTGAATCTCTGCAAGGGGATTACAGCTCACTACTGTGTCAAGAGGATTTAATTGGGCGAGATACCTCTTATGTTGGAATGACGACTAACGATGATATGAATTGGTAATACCGCCTACCCTACGGCCGACTTCACCGACTAACAACTGCAGGTTACTTTTAGGGTTATCGACCCGTCTTGATAACCTTGAGACAGCCGTTGCAAATGGAAACGCGCGAATTGCCCATCTTGAGGCTCAGATAATAGGATTGACCGATGAGTTCCAACGAGCCATAGCTCACTTGAAAAAGGGCGTAAAAGAGCTAGCGACGGCATTCTTAGATAGTGGTTCAGGCGATTCAAAGACTCAAACGTAATGTCAAATGCGGTTTGCGGTTTCTAGCATCTTGGTATTAATATTAGCACTTTATACCATTCTTGATCTTGATGGATTTATAAATAGTTGACACTCCCGCGCTCCCTGTTCATGCTAGCTACAGTGATCATCCAAAATGTCAAGATACTACAAAGAACTCCCACCAACTCCTCCAGACTACCCTAAACATGAAAGGGCTGCTTATGCCCAGAAGCTGCACCCATCGTGCCAAGCAGCAGAATATCAGCAAACTATTCTCAAACACCAAAATAGCAGACTACAGAAGCAAAAAACTGAGCTACAGCAAGAGGTGACTCGGCTGAGGGAGCAGGCCTCACAACTAGAAGATAAAATTAAAAAATATCAGCAATACATTGGGCAGCAGAATGAAAGTTTTGTCTTGGTCACTCGAACCGTGTGCTCTGCCTTCGAAAAATATCGCGAGAGTTTAGGGGCTTTGCCGGCTCAAAGTTCCAACGCCAGCCCCATTGACCAAGTCCTCAATGCATATACTGCATTTAGTGATAGCGAAGAAGACTTGATGTTTTTTTAGCAGTATAGCACAGCTAGCTACACATAGCCAATAAGGAACCTCAATTAACCGCCTGCTCCTTGAATGAGCTCGGCTTTTGGCTTGGTCAAATCGCCGCCGCCGCCGCCGCCGCCGCCGCCGCCTCCCCCCAATGAAACGCTGCACTAATGCGGTGGTGATATCATCTGAGATGTAATTACAAAAACTTGTTCTTACAGCGTCGGAACCCCGTACTCATACGATGTCCACTCTTGTAAAACCGACACCGGTCATGGGTGGAGCGTCCGGTTCCGCCAGGCACCCAGCCGGGGTGGAGATGATAATGGGAGTGCGCCGAGATGTGGGCTCACTATGTTGTTGGTCCGAACCATGTAGTAGTATCATAGTTATTAGCTAAGTAATAATGAGCTGTTTTGTTTTATTTTACCTCGTCTCCGTTGTTCTTGTGGATCTCCGCCCCCGAATGCAACATCGAGCTGGCGGCTATACATCAGCGTATCTTTCGGAGTGGATTACAAGGACTTGTTTTAACAGGGAAATGGGGACAAGAATAAAGCCTCAAGTCCTAAAATACGGCGGGGCCTAGAACAGTCGGACTTAGGGATCGAAAGGAACAAGCTATAGCTGATATAAATAGGCATGTAGCTAGCAGGCATCAATGAAGTAGTACAATCAGATAGCATTCACCGTTCACACCAAGAGTTATTACCATCAGACTAAAATGGCTCCCTTAGTTTGCCGAGTCGTCGACATCTTCAATATTGGCGTCAAAGGGGTGCATGTGCTCCTCGAATGCCGAGATGAATTCTATCACTGCGTTGCGCGACTGGACGCCATGACGGGAGATGATGGATGGATCTGCGCTTGGCTTCCCATGATACACCCTCTAGACGATGACATTGAGCCCCAGATCGTGGATACTAAGGATGTGCCGCGGGTATCTCTGGCTTTCATACCGCACTCTCACCCCGCGGCTCCCTGGTTGAGCATACGCGCAGATCTTTACCTTTCAGGCATGGCTTGCCATGGGGTGATTCTTCATCTTGAAGAAAGCCCGCGGCTAGAATACTTAGCGCAGTCGGCCATGGACTCCACAGACAGGGCGGGCGTGGCGCCGCAAAGCCGAGACCTTCGAACGCCGTCGCCTTTTCTATTATCATCGCCTATAATTACCCCTGCTCAGGGCTATGAGGCATCAGAAGACCAATCGGATGCGACCAGAGAGATAGCCGCCGAAAAATCGACTGCTGGCCGGAAGAGGAAGTTGGAATTGGCATCGGAAAAAAGAACTAGAACTACAAGACGGCGCTTGGTGTAATGTAAAACTAGTAGAACAAGCAACTACGTATACTTTTATAAAATACAGCCTCTTGTCCAATCCATTGCAGAGCATATGCATTTTCCACATTCACTGCCTTTCTTGTTATCTTTATCACAACACTACCATCATGGAGTCTGTTTTTCCTGTTTCGCGCGATGTTTATGCCGGGCAGTACCGGCCCGCATCTCTGCAAGCCAATCCGCAGCACATCTGGCAGCAGCATCGTCGCACCGGACTCCAGCCCATTGGCACGCAAGCTTATAAGGAGCCTGTCTCACATCCCTCACCGAGTGGGCTCGAAGCTTGGAAGAACCAAGTTGACACTCTATCTCGAATTATCATGAGGCAAGAAGGCCATTTCGTGGGCCTCGAAGATGAGGTGAAAACAAGTAAGCGGGAAATACAGCGCCTTGGATATCTGGCAGAAGCAAGGAACCAGCACATACAACATCTTGAACATCAACTGGCACAGACAGAAGCCAAAAACCAGCAGCTCGCCCACGAAGTTTTTGTGCTCCGTCACACAGTATGTCTGCCCAACCTTCATCTCCTCGTCAATCTTCAACTGTCAACAGCTCACTCAATCGTAATTCTAGGCCCAATCGGGTGCAATGCACGCTAAGCTCCCACCCGTTGATACCTCTCAAGGCAGCCGTGTTCCGACGCAGGAAAGAGCGTTCAGAGACACCAGTGACAGTGATCAACGCCAGGGAAGCCAGATTTTAATTAAGAGCGAAAGGGATGGAGAGGAAAGCAGCTAATCGGGGAATCGCGGGATGCGAAACGGACTGCTGTTGGTTCTGTTTAACTTGATGCTATTAAATTATGTAGCAGTGGAGGAAGAGATTACATGTAGATGAAACCAGCTGGATCTGCGATCGGTGGATTTAATAAAAGATTTCCGTATTTCCGCACTTAAATTCTTTACCAGGGGACTCCCTTGTCTGATCATCAGATGATGAAAATGCTATGCGGACTACTACATTTTAGGCAAATCAATCACCACTGTTGTTCTCTCGTGGGGGGTGAACAGGTAGCTTTTGCCTCGATCTGATTGCCCAAAAAGACTCCACATGCATGTGTTTAGCTGGCTAAATTACTACAGTGGAAGCATGTACATGTAGAGAGGCCCACTGGCCGTTTCTTGCAAGGGTTGATTGTCTGCTAGCACCAACAGCTTTCAGGTCAGCGAACCAATCAGTCACAGTACTGTGCTCTGTTACTCCCCGCTAGAAATGCAACGGCTCCATGTAAAAGGCAACCTGTTCCCACAAGACTTATTTGTCTTGGCGTGTCTGTTCAAATCCTCGTATTTCCAGGGCTGTTTTCCTGTCTTCCCTTCAGCGCTATACTGTAACTACCTGCCTAGGTAGTAGTGGCAGACAGGGGCCAGCTAATTTCGCTACCGACGGGACGGATCGCCCCTGCACAGTCCACGCGTTACTTGTAGTTCCAGGCCACCTTCATGACTCGTCAAGGCCACGCCTGTCCTGCTCGTATAGCTCGATGCAACCTGTTATATCCGCCAACATTGCTCCGTACCAGCCAGACCCTTTGCTTCATGTGCCACCGAGCTTTTCCTTAAACAGGCCTAGAGCGACACCAGGTGTAAAAATCATCAAGGTAGACGAATACGCCGTGGACATGATGCGGTGGCTCATGTTGCGCGCCCTCCGGCATCTAGGTCAAGTTATCCGGGCGCGTATGCGCCTTCACACACTAAGCTAAATACTGATATTATATGGCATTCAAGCTCCACATATGGATACTACCTGAATGGATACTACGGAGACGAAGGTGTTCGTCCGTGATTACTGTAGTCGTTCACCCATCGGTGAAGCTGGAGAGCCCGTCCTCCCGCTTTGTCCGCTGAAGAAAATCTACGCTGAGGCGCCTACGCTACGGCTATTTCTAGCTAGAAAATTGACTGGAGTCGCCCTCAAAATCACGCCATTCTGTGGCCATCATGTCAGGTACGCTAAGGATGCAGTAGCAAGATTTTATTTTTTTTACCCAATTGAGGTATTGGTCAACTAATGGGGAGCTGCACAGGGAAACTCATGAATCAGCTCTACTGTACATGTACTGATTGATATATTCACTCCAAGATACTCCAGCCGACAAGGGTAAAGCGCCTCCTTTTGATAGTAGCAGTACTACCTTGTACAAGCGCCCCAATTCAATGTGTGCTCCCCTTGGTCGAGTAGCTCGTTAGGGCTCTCCGACACGCCTGCCTTGAACCAATCCTTCTATAGTGTCCATGCCCACAACGTTGCATCTTGCAAGTAGCACCTAGTCGTGCCAGATGTTGCCACAACGTGCATTGCCCACCCTTTCATCAGCTCATTCATACGCTCCCTCTCTTTCACTGAGCTGCAATATTCCGCAGATCTGAGCTTGCCAGGAGCTTTTACACCGGCTGCAATCATATTGCCGAGGCGGCGGCGACTCGACATTGGTAGCTCTGAGCCCGCAAAAGTGACCTTTTTGGTGCGGAAATAACTTCCCAAGGCACTCTGAAAGCTGACAATACGGCCGTCAAACTCTGTCCACGAAATGCCAGAGATATTCTCACGCCTCTCGTTCAACATATCACTTAGCATGGGATAGCGGTATTGGGCTATGAATTGGCGATACATCTTGCCATACTCGATCAACAGAGCATCCTCGTCATTTAAAGATCGGATTTTGATCCCGGAACGTCCAGCTTCTGAGAATTCGAATCCCTTCTTTTTGTACTTCTCTACAGCGCGAACGATCTTGGGATCCTTTGTGGCGGAAGCGTCTCTCCATATTTTTGCTTGCTTCAAGCTGGTTTGCTTATAGTAAAGATGGCTGGCGCACCAGCCTCCGATAAAGCACTGTACATGGCTGGCATAGAAATCTTTGACGAAAGCCATGCAGCTCTTGATTCCATTGATATGAGATCCAATGATCAATTGCACTTTTTCGTAGCCTCTTTTAGTCTTAATTCTGCCATGGAGGATGCTACAAGATCTCCCATGAGCATCGTTATAAGCAATCTCTTCGTTTTCCCGAGCCCATACATCTGCAGTCGGAATGAAACGAATACGATTATTCTTGTCTAGCCTTAGCTCAAATCCTTTAATATCTCGGGACGCTTCTTCTTTCATCTGGTCGTACGCATCGACGATATTATAAAGCCTTTTTCCCAAGATGAGAGAAGCAGTTTTGCTGCCGAGACTGGTCACCCATGTGGCCAAGTTCTCCAACATTCGCCGGCTGATAGTCGCTTTGCCGTGATGAGACAAATCTGAAGCAATATTCTTTGCAATTGTATTCCAGTCCACTCCGCAAATCTCGAGAGCATTGACCATGTCCGCGACCGACTCCTTATACCCTGAGACGCCAAACTTCCAGGGAGCATTAGAGGGTACAGAATCAGGAACGAAGAATGGTAGCGCTCTGGCGCCAAATATAATGCATCCAGTATCCAACATAGCCGCCATCAGCGTTATCACATAGTCAAATGTATCTTGAAGGTATGACACTGGGTTGATGCGCTCATCATAACAAGCCCGTAAAAGACTGTTTTGCGGGTATCTGTTTCTCATGCTCAGCGCATCGCTGATGCTAAGCTTTTTCATGATATCTAGAGTAGACTCGGTGGTCATAATGACAATGTCTTCCTTCGCGGTGCGAGATTAAAGAGGTCGGCTGTAAATAACGGGTTCAATTAATAGTGTGATATTAGAGTGAACTTTCTTGCTTGGGTAAAGAAGATTAATATACACATCTATCTTCCACCAATCTGAATCCACATGAGATATAGAGCACGTATTTTAGACGTGCTCTTTTTAAACCTTGGATTTGGTACTTAGGACATGAATCAGTGGAGTCAGCAGCTAATGTGCGTCCAAAGTGGCGTGGCAATAGTACACGCAGGGAATAGAGAACTACAGATAAATCCTTTACTGCGAGGAGTAATTGTTTTCACAATATAATTCACGAGTATATCGTAAAGCTTTTAAAACAGGTTATTGATCTCTTCAACCAGCGATATATGATGTAGGCAACATGATGGCTGCACACATGTACAACTTTGCCGCAAGACTGCATGCACATAGGTAGGTAGGTATGCAGCCCAATACTAGTAGCGCTCTAAGGTGCGTCAAACAGTCTCATAGAAGTGTGGTACTTGTTTCTGGAAATGCACGTAGTCTCATGCCCTGGTGCTGGTATACTAGGGTGTGTAGTGTGTCTTTGTAAAAGAACTCCTGTACGCAAATCCCGGTAACAAGAGAGTACTTAAGTAGTGTGTCTTTACATCAGTACTCTGGTACTGGTTACTTTTGCACACTGATACTAGTCATCAGAGGTGCTAACATTAAGTTACTGACAATGAAGCTCTTGTGTTGCCAGCAATCCATGAATGCTGGTACTAAGTCTAGAGGAGATACTGGTACCTTAGCGCTGCTGGTACTAAGTCTAGAGGAGTTGCTGGTACCTTAGCGCTGCTGGTATCCAACCTTAGTAGAGTGCTGGCAACTAGCAATGGCGCAGTACCAGTATTAAACCTGGCCTACGTCAGCGTAATTAGTATCCAATCTTAATTGAGTGCTGGCAACTGGCAGTACTAGTATTAAACCTGCATGTAACCTACAGTTACGCCAGGGTTAATATTAGGTGCTAGTAATATGCATTCATAAGAAAAGGCATCCCTGAGATGGCTATAAGTGCTGCTGGTAAATCATTGCGGACTGTTCTTGCTTACTATTTGCGCTGTTTATTAATGACTGCGACTTTCATCTTGTGCTACCAGTATTAAGTAGCTAAAGCGAGCCTCTCATCCAACATCTCTTATTTTCCCCTCTTACACACTCTAATCTTTTTATTTTCCCTTTTTTCGCCCTCTGTAATCATGGCTCTTATACAAAGATTCCTTGTTCTTATTCCCCTATTCTTCTCATTTATTACTATTGTTCTGATTAACTTGGTGCTATTTGCTGGTAACCAGCAGGGGTTCATGGAGGATTATGCCATAATTAGGGTAAATGAAGCTAGCAATAACACTTGACCTTAAGTTAACCCGCAATACAGTTCAATACATCCGTGCTTGGCCAAACCATCGTCAGAAATAGCGACAGTGACAATAATAAGAGCATCGTCGGCAAGAATCTGGCTAGAGACAGTCTTGATGACAGTCTTGATGATTTATTTAACGACTTGACCGCAAACATGGCTGCACTCCTTGGCATTAGCGACTGGTATTCTATCCACATTACAAACGCTTGCCAAGGTGAATTCGTGCATAACGCAACTTCTTATGGCTCTCTCAATACCACCAGTTGCACTCATTTATCTCGCTCAAGTAAGCTCCCACAAAAGCATGACCTATAGCTCAACTAATTTATATCTTAGACCAATTCAACTTTACTAGAATACTTAACCAAGAGATGACCGCCGGACCCTTTGGTCTTGGCCTTGCCGACATTAACTGGCCTGATGCTATTCAAGATAAAATTAACAACTTTAACAATGCTTTACTGGCCTTTTATATATTCTTCATCATAGGCGTTAGTTCTAGCGGCGTCTCTATGCTGGCAGGTGTTTTAGTATTTTTCTTTGGAGACAAAAGGATTATGCTTTTTGCAAATATAATCCCGACAACTCTTGCTGCTATAATAATTACGCTTGGCTGTATTATTATTACAGCAGCTTCTTCTATTGCTGTTAATGCTATCAACAAAGCTGGCGCCAAAATTACCTTGGTGGCTGATAAAGGTGTAAACTTTTATATTATCTCTTGGACTGCTGCTGTTTTTATAATACTTTCTACTCTATTTTGGATAACTAGGCTTGCAATACTGCGGAAGAAGGAAAAGGAGGGCTATAAAAATTTTTAATTCAACGTTTAGTATTCGTCCTCCTCTTGGAGTAACCTTCTGGGCAAGTGCAGCCGCATAATATAGTGTCTATTTAAAGCTCAATCAAATATCAGCACATGCTCTTTAAACCATGGCAAGTAAACATCCCTCCCCCAAGCGGTAAGCTCCCGAACACCAGCAACAACAGCATAAGCTCCCTTTATCGTTCTAGTTGTCCCAAAAGCTGTGTCTGTACACAACACTGTAGTTTTTTTCGTTTTGTCATATGTAGAGAGCACTGGAAGCCATCGATATCCACTAATGATGATACCTGGGATAAAGGCAAGGGCTGATAATGCTGCAAGTTTCTCTTTCTTAAAGTCTTCCTGATCTTGAGCTGTAGTTGGTTCATCAAGACCTTGGGCTATCCGTTGTTGAAGAAGCTTCTCACCAACAGCCCATTCTAAAAAGTTCCATTGTGCAGCATGCCATATGCCGATCTGTAGCTTCGCCTTCTCCAATTCCGCAGCAGGCTTCTTAGTCTCGATGCTCAGTAAAAGAGGGTCATATTGAATCGATACAAAGTCGGTATGGTTGATTGATTGGGTAGGGTTGATGTGGGCGAATTTCTTTATGGCTGAAGTCCATTCTTCATCATCCACAAACGAGCGGAATATGCAGTCGTCAATCATCCTGGCTGTAGTAGCTACCGGTCTGAATTCTTTGTGTAGTTGGGCCGAGGTACTATTAAGTAGGTAACAGGAGTCAGCAGCCATATCACCGCACTTTTTTAAGGTCATGACTTGCCAGTCTGTAGCACCAAATTCGCCAATCGGTCCCGTAAAAGGATCTTCGAATATCATATCGAGCAGTCTTAAATTAACAGCGCCATTCCAACGGGACTCATTATCGCCACGAGTACCAACTTGAATAGCCTTTCTGACTATTTCATCTATCTCATTCAGAGACGGAATCCGGCCAGGCAAATTATCATCAGGCGCACTTTCTGGCCTACAACAGGACTTCAATTTTTCATACACGTCGACTTTATTTTGAAGTTTTTGCAATTGAGCGTCTGCCTGTTGTAGGGCGGTCGCTTGTTGTAGAGTGGTCGCCCGTTGTTGAGTATTTGCCTGTTGTTGAGAAATCGCCTGTTGGAAGCTATGTGGTAAAATATTTTTATTTTCGGCGAAGTCTTCCAAAGTTTCGTACAGCTCTTTCGCAGCCACTGGCACGGTGTCTATTACAAGTTCGGTATAGACTATCGTATCGTCCAGACTTAAGCTCATCATTTGTTTTTTAGGTGACGACGATCTGGATGCAGAGCCTGCTCGGGAGCGAGATGCAGAGAGAGATCTGGAAAGAGATCTAGAGAGAGATATTGAAGTCGAAGAGCTTGGAAAGTTGCGAACTGCCGGTCGAGGCGTTGTTTCAAGATCGATCGGCGTATCCGCGCGCTCTAATCGGCGTTTCTTTGGAGTTGATGTCATACTGTTGGAATTTGTGCTCATAGAGCTAAATGGAGGACTTGCAAGGCAGCTGCTGGATGCAATCTCGCGTTTTCTCTTGCGTTTTCGGATCGCGTCTGAAGGTAGGGAATTTTCGCGTTGTGCAGTCTCTTCCGGAAGGCTGTAAACCCAAGAAAGGATCCTGCTGTCGTCCATGGCCTGTACACTTTACAACAACTACCTAGGTAGGTAAGGGATGGAGGTAAAGACCTGTTTTAAGCCGGCAGGACGCTACTCTGGTACGCAGTAATTGGCTATGTCAGCGTTGGCCTGCCAACAGCGCCATAGTTCCTTTCATGTGTGACAGGCACTGTGCCTTAGACAAGCAACTGCCTGGTTCCTAAAGCAACGCGCTCTTGCGCCTAGTGTACTTAATTAAGACAAGTGCCCGAGAATCGGATGTTAGCGTTTCTTCGTCAGCGGTAGGATGTAGGTGATAAAACGGCCCGTTTAAAACGGGGGAGTCACAGTATCCCCATATAATGGCTAAATATCGGATGAGCCATCACAAAAAGAGAGGCCCCTATAGCTCAGCGGTAGAGCGTTGCACTTGTAATGCAAAGGCCCATAGTTCAAGTCTGTGTGGGGGCATCTTTTTTTGCCTGTTTTGACTGCTTGGCCGGCGAGCATAATAATCGGGCATGGCTGCCAAAATGGCCTTTCTTTTTAAGTTTGTATGATCTCTAGGCCTTGGCATCCTGATAGCTTGTTATGCCAGCCCTCCCGTCTCATTCCTTCTTTCGGCGGTGCCAAATGAAGCGGTTTTTGTGCAGATTCCGCGAAGAGTCTAATATGGTATATAGATGACTATACAACCGAGTCTCTGATAGCTCATACTATTCTCTACCAGCTGTTTAGCGTACAAATGCAAGAAGTAATAAAGCAAAATATTGAAAAAGGAAAAAGGAAGAAAGACAAAGCAATTTGACGAGAGAACCAGGCCCTCGTAGCGTCCGTAATGTTAGATCAAAGTTTCTATGCTGTCCACAAAGACCAATTCCCAACGCATAGATGATGTGCCTCAACTTGTCTCGACCTAGCTTTTGGATTTCTGTTTAGATCTTCAACCTATCTATTAACACAGTTGGCAAAGTCCGCGAGACCTCAGCGCAGCTAGATAGCTGGCGATGGACGTGCTTGAGGATGAAATGGTAGAGAGGATGCGTCTCGTCGAGCTAGTGAGGAATGCACTTCATACTTTACTCGGAACTCTTTGTCTTAGTCGCTGCTCTTCAGAGGCATCTAATTTATATGATATCGCCGTGGTCGCGATCGACTTTGGGAACATCAAACTTATCGCGTGTGAAGTGTCTCATAGGGAGAATTGCCAAGCTCGCCATACAATTTTTGACACCAAGGGTCCAGGTCAAGTTTCCCCTAGCAAGTTCATTTTAGCCTACAACTTCATCACAGGCCCCTTTCCATACCTCTCAGAAGCTTCAAACAAACTTCATCTTGGCAAATTAGCTGGCATTCTCAATTAGACACGTATAAGAAGAACATGACTCAAGATATTGAAGAGCATATGCATGACCCGCAGTTCTATATAGTTCAGTGAATTCCTGATTTTTCCCAGTCTATTTGTAGATTACGTATTAGCTTTAAGTACCAACCAATCTATTTACTAAACTCGTGGGGAAGATGCAGTTCTGTGATGGCGTTGTTCGTTTTCTGTCATCTCTGCACGCTCTCAATTCTCATTCTATCGAAGTGGTAGCAGGCTTCGGAATATCTGAGCATAATAAATCGAGGCCGCTTATAAGGTCTCCAACGATATCGGTAATTATTGAAGCATTCGTTTGTAATTGACCTCTACCACTGTATTGATCATCGACTGCCGTGACTATCGCGAGATTTTCGTTAGGCTGAGATAATAATTCACCCAATCTTGTATCAGCAATAAGAGACTTACGTGATTTCAAAGAGTCATAAATCTCATCCAACATGTCGTTTATAAGGCGCTTAAGTTCAGGTTTATTTCTCAGCCTGTACTCTAATGAAGTATTAGGTGCACGTAGCCCAGAGACATCCACCTTCGATGCCCACACCTTAAGGCGCCCCTGCTGATCATTCATCAAAGACGACTTCAACACAATATTCTGTGTAAGGTAATGTGCATCTAATAGACCTAGACATAACTTTACTTTTTGAGCGATAGCTCGACTAGGGCGGCCTTGGACATCGTTATTGTCCGTGTGCTCTAGCTCCATGACGGCTTTGCTATGTGACGAGCAATTTCTTATTTCTGCTCCGAAAGTCCACGATGTTGGTTTTTGAGATCTTTAAGTAATGCCGTAGAGTGCTTTGAGATGTCGAACTCGACGGATATGATTGCTGATGAATTCGCTCGCAACCCTTTGCGTCCAACTTGTGTAAGAAAAAAATGGTTGTATAGCAGCAAGTTTAAAAACGAACTCGAACATTTGAATACAAGATTTATACGAACAAATAAAGAAATGAGGCATTCAAATGAACAGAGCTTTGGCAAATCATCAAGACCACGTGAACATTACTTCAATGGTGTTTTTTCGTTCAGGATTTCGCGTCTATGTATGAGGCCTGAACTGTGTCTATCTTTGGCCAATGTGAACTTGCCCGGCATCAATATAGCTCTCTCCACTCACAACAATGAATTGCGGTACATTGCATGTACTACAATGACTGAACGTGTACTTTTTTATTGTTCAGTTTTTGTTATAGCGTAACACAAAACCCTTATCAAGCCCATAAATCTCAACCTCCCCCATTTTCCATGTCAAGTGTTGCACTTCACAAAAACTTTTATCATCATATCACCAATGGCTTTGTCAAATGCGTTAACCATTGGTCCGTACAAATTTCTTGGCTGCGACGGTGTCCCGGTAAATAACGCATTGTCCTTGATAGGGAACAAGATTGATCGCAACTCTCTGCAAAGAGGTTTGATACAACTGAATTCATCTGGAAACTCATTCAAGATGTACTCAAATGCAATTCCATCCATGTTGCCATGCTTGTTTCTTGCTATATCTTCAAACGTGCCGGTATACCAACCTCTGAGCTGACTTGGTTTCGAAAGAGTACGCCCCACAAACTCCCAGCCGCGACGAATACACTGCCAAAGCAAAACGTAAAGAAAAGACTCAAGATCATGCCGATAAGTGTGATCGGTATCTCGTAACACTTCGATAGCCATAAATTCCATGGCACCTGTGCGGCAACGTGCGCCGCTCCGTCCGCTACCAAGTTCCTTGGCAAGATCCAAGTCGATCAACATGCCTGAGAAACCGTCCTTTTCCGGATCCGTCATAATGATGTTGTTCTCAGAAATGTCTCGGTGAAGGATATTCCCCTTGGAATATAGAGACTGATGAGCCTTGATAGCATCGCGAAGCGCTTCTAGCAACTCCAGAGGGGATTGGTATTTGTAGATTGGCCGGCCTGCGGGAGAGATGACGAGACAGCGAAGAGTGCGGTTATCATATAAACCATCTCCGGAAACAGCTGGAGGATATCCATCGCTCTCCATAGTCGGATGTGTCAACTCATTTTGCAGGCACGATCGTTGATGGAACTTGGGTCGTTTGGGTTTCGGGTCCCTATCGACCAGTTTACGCTTCATCGGACGCTTCGTAGAATTATCTTTGCTATTATGGTGCTTATTAACCGGATTTTGAGGCGGAAAAAGTACTCGTGAGAAAGGAGACACGATGCTGGCAGTACCTCTGAAGGAATAACGTTTCATGAACGTTATTCCTGAGCGTATGTCCTTGATGTTGGTAATATCGTAATGGCCAATCAGCCTAGCAATGCCTTGAACTCCTCTCTCGTTGGCTAACTTGAGGAAATCTGTCTCGGGCTTCCGCTCACTAGAAGACCAAGAAAACTTGGCAACATGATCATAGTCCCGAGAGTCCAGATGCTTTGCGAGAAAGCAAGATGTTGCGCGAGAGACAATTGCTCGCCGGTGGGCGAGAGGTACTGAGTGCAGTTGTAGCTTCTGTGGCTGACATCCATCCCCTTCAATTTTTATAAAGTTAGAGTCGCCCTCTCGCTGCATAAACGTATCAAAGCCAAGCTCGTCTTCATTCATCATGATATAGCCTGAGAGCACCCGAATGAATCGTTCTGGATGCTCGTGGATGTCGAACGGGCCAGGGCTATAGCATCCTGAACGATCAAACACCCATGGCTCCATCTTACTCCCGCAGATAGTAAATGCATGAAGATAGCGGCGCGTTGGTTGATTGGCAAATACATCTCGGGCATATACCGCGAGCTGTATTAGCGGCTTTTTGACACCATCGTGATTAGATGCCTTGAGCTCACCAATGACTGCAATGTCTTTCCGGATATCTTCTGCTTCTGATGGCTTCCTGTTCTTTCTTCTGACAACTAAGTCAATCTGCCGACATGCCTCGCCGCCAGTAAGTTCTTTTGTGGACTTTGTTGCACAGTAGTAACGTTGCTCTTCAGAGAGAAGATCATCTTGCAGTGAGAATAACCAGTCTAATAGGCGGGTTTGGTCAGGTGAACCAGCAAGATTCACCCATTTGTTGCCTATGTGCTGTTTCTTAATCGACTCATACACGTCCTGTGCACGACTAGACCAGTCCTTATCCTCAAAGTACTTCTTAAAGAATCCATTTGCATCCCGAAATGTACAGGCTCGGATCTCCTCCCAGACTCTATGGTCGATAAGCCTCCGAGTCTGCTCGGCTCCTTGTTGTGATGCAGAAGAGAAGGTGTATGGTGTATCACTACTAGGAACCCTCGTGAGGCGTTGCGGTGTCTGAAGTAGAAGTGCAGTAGAACACTGACAATCGGCTGCCGGAGCCATAAAACTCTGAGCGCTCAATATTCTCAATGCATCTTTTGCTTCTTGCGCTTCATTGAGTGTAGACATTGTTGTTAGAACTTTGGCCACAAATGTTGTTATATAGAAAGACCAAAGCTTGGATGGGACAGTAACAAAGTTTCCTCGTCCAAAGAGTCTAGAGTGTTCAAGAAAGGGTATTGGAGATGAAAGACTGAACATACTGTTGTTATTGTTGTTTTTGCCAAATCTTGCAGATACTTATACTCTAGAGCATCATCTATGCGTCTGCTCTCCTAGAACCCCACAAGCTGCATGAGCACCCTTGCCCACACAAGCTGCATGAGTCCATTTGTCCAAACACTCAAATGGTGCTCGGCTGGCTGCTATGAGCAGTATACGGAACAACCTTGTAGCAAGCACACCGACTTATGGCCTCTACGAGGCAAGCCAGAAGATTTCATTTGCTCATAACTGCTGTAGCCGGGGGCTGAACCACACCCTCTTTCTTTTTTATGTGGATATACGGTGAATATGCAGTTCAACCCCGTAGCTGCTATCTTTCATTGCTTAGATTTGTCCTGGTGGCTCTTAACTTACCTGGTGGACATTTACATTAAGACAAGGCGAAAGAAAAAAGTTTTCGCATTCTGCGGGACATGGTTTGTAGGTGCATATTATTATGTAGAATTGCCGACGCAGAATTTTGAAGCTACATCGTTGTCTCCTGATGTACGCTTACAGCCTTTCAGCATCTATACAGATATACTAGAGGTCAAGAAGACCGCCATCTTGAACAATGGCCAGAAGCTATAGAGAATATTTACGATGTTATTCAGAACTGCACCTAATAAATGATAGTTTATAGAATGTCGAAGAAATAATGATTGCCTTACTCATTCGGAGGTGTGTAATACTTGCTATTCATTATTCTTCTGGAGACTTCCTCATTCTGTCGTATGGTTGTCGACATACGGCCATTTACATCGTTCTTTCTTTCAACTGTATTATTTACTATATTAACTTGAGGGCAGAAACCTGAGCGCATCATGGCCGTTCTTATAGGCACATTCTCTGGCTGCTCTTCATTCTCAGTGATGCGCATTGCATCATGGGCAAATGTGATCCGCTCATAGTGCTGCACATGCCAAGTGCGATGGCAACTGAGAACTATAATGTGGCAGGATTCTGGGACATCATTCGCAAATAATGTCGAGTTGAACTATTAAGAACTTTGTTAGTATATACAAATTAATTTCCCTTTTAAAGCCGTGGCCGGCAAGCATATGTTATAAAGACGTGTATCTTTGAGTAAAGCTACGTAAGGCACATGGATAATGCATAAGAGTGCGATGTGTTTAGGTAGTAGGTGAGAATGAAAAGAGAGAGAAAAGATGCAGATACTTATTGGAGTTGACTTTGGAACATGTTGTTGTGGAGTGGAAAGTTGGAAAGGTAAGAAAATATAGGAGCTGTGTTAATTTATATCTCCCCTCTTGCGTCAGGTGATACTACAGCAGAAGCAAGAACCAATTAGGCATTGCTGACTTAGATATTGTTTATCGGACGATTTCTGAGTCCGTAATAGGAACGTACTGTTCAGATAGGTAGCACCCGCTTTGGAATAACTACAAGTAATAACTTGGACATTGTTCATGCTTGTATATAGGACCACACACAAACTTTGTTCCTGGGACGAAGTTTGTGTGGGGTCCGTAGGATGAGGACTAGTGCTTACGCGCTAGGAAAAAAAAAAAGAGAAGGCCTCTATAATACAGTAACTACTCACTATATTACAGCAGCTATCTCATTATAATATAGTGCATTCAGCGCTATAGTATAGCGAGCCTCCTCGTAAATAAAGCGGGAATAGATATTGATTTCTTGCCACTAGTATTGCAAATGGCTTGCTTTAACATTCGCTACCGGGAGGCCAATTACTATGTTCGTGCCATTGTACCGATTGCTGACTCATTCTTCGTCCATGGACGAAGAATGAGTCAGCAATGCGTACGTTCTTGTTCAGTAGTACCTACCTATAAGAAGATAGCGGCGCATATGGACAGTGCACGCCAGTCATAAGGAATGTTGATAAAAGTGTTGACTTCTATCTAGAAACTTGATGAATCTATGCATGTCGACGTGTACATCTTTATGTAAACTAATAATATGCTTCTGTACTGCTGTATATACACATGCGACTGGGCTTGGTAACTTTCATCTGGCCTAGTGATAAGCAGGCTCTCCAGGTTGCTCCGCACAGAGACGGACTACTCTTTCGGCTCGAACACGAAACGAACAAACAAATAATAGACAGCGTTTTTTTTTTTTTTTTTTTTTTTTTTTTTTGTTGTTGAAAAGCGCGAATGAGCTAAGCTCATCTCTTGGAATGTAGATCGCATTGATCTGTCCAACCATTGTTGGTCACATAATCTTGTGTCACGAAGCGATATATCAAAACCGCGACCTTAATTCCCCTCTTCTCTTTTTTCCTTTTTCCCTCGTGCAAACAGCCCAAGGAAAAGAAAAAAATTATCGTATAAAATGGAAACCGACGAATTTCACTATTTTCCAAAGCTTCCCTTTGAAATACGATGTTTGATCTGGGAACTCTGCCTGCCGCAACGAATCGTAGAAGAAGACGCCCCTTTTTTTCTTCTCGACGGCAACGAATCTCGTCAAGCGTGCTGGGCACTCCCAACAACGTACCAAAACGCTCAACAGCCGGTGATCGCAATGGTGAACAAAGAAGCCCAGAAAATCGCGAAAGAACACGGACGCATGATACAGATGCAGGAATCGACCAATTTGGATTCAATATGGGTACAGCCACGTAAAGATGTGCTGCATCTCAACTGGACGAGGATGCGATATGTTGCTTGTTATGGGGATCCGGATGCCTTTCGAAGCCCATTAGCCATGTTTGTATGGCAAGCGGAAGAATTAGGAATGCAGCCTTCAGTCGTCGCAGAGATTCTTCACCCATTCAGCATAAAAGCGCTCCTAGGAGGCAGCTCTGCGTCCGAAAGCCCAAGTGTTGATTACGTATCGGTAGAAAACAACGACTTAGCCGACACTGCGGATTGTGCAAGTCACGCAGATCGCACGGACCAACATCTAAATATCACGATGGCAGCGGTTTCTTTACATATCACCCGGAACGCGGTTTTGAGATCTGGCCTATTTGGATTATTGGGCGACGCCCCTGTTCAAATGGTTGATTTTGATGACGATAATCGACTGGGGCAGTTCCACGAGTTGTTTAAACAGAATGCAATGGATGAAGAGCCAGAAGTGCCGATACTCTTCGATACGTTTCAAACTTTTCAATTTCGAACCGCCGTTGAGATGTGGACGAGACAAGCTGAGTGGATGATCTTCGCATGCATGTGGCAGCGCGCACAACAGCCAATTTACACCAAAGGATCTGAGACAAGCATATACATTGACGAAATTGGGACAAAACCAAGTTTGGCGTGGCTGCCTGAACTGCCGGAGAAGGTGTCTATTGACATGGACGAACATTCACCCAATATGGATCATCCATGGGTGAAAAAAGCCTTCCGGATTGCGCCCAGACTGCGACCGCAGATCATGGTGCGATATTGTACCAAAAAGTGTTATATCAAAGATAGACATCTTGAATAAATGTAGAAATACTGAATGTTACTTGGGTGGGCAATACAGACTGATAAAAAGAATTGAATCCATCTCCTGTGGCAATATAATTGAGAAAAGTCTATTCTACTTTGCACGCTGCCGCCAAATGAGCATGTACGTCGTCTGTCTTGAGTATAGCTTTGACATGGCTCAACGAAGTCCCGGCGCTATTCTCCCACTTGACAAAGTTCAAGATCACTTGTTCAACTTATTGAATCCTGCCTTATTTTTGTTTTCTCCGATAATCTTGTCGGTATCAATCTTCCTGTAGCCTGGTACGGAGGGGGGGGGGGGGGGGGGGGGGCTCTCTCGATGAGATCAGTGTAAACAACACTGAGCCCTTTGCCACGCATGTACTTTTCAAAAGCTCTAGAGATTTTCCCAGCCTGATCAAAGCGGCGAGCGTCAGCATGAGCCTTGAGAGCAGATTTTATTTTACTGATACGATCATTATTAGGTTCTTTGCCATCAGCTCTGAGCTTGGCGATGGCCTTTAAGCCTAAGTCTTGAGCCCTACTAACAGCGGCTTCTTCATCTTGGGAGCCCAAATTAATACCTGCCATCAAATCCAGGGCATAGATGCACCTTTACCGGGCTTCTGAGATATTGGGAGCTTCCCAAGATATTTTGCCGAGCCCCAAGAGCTCACCCAAGCCTCGGCAGCCTGCAGACAGAGACTTCATAATGAGTTCAGAGAACACGAGGCCTAAATCTTGAGTATCTGAAACCCCCCATTTCTGTCTTTCTTGAAGGGTATCATACTCAATGGGAAGCTGGTGAAACCGTTGCCAAGAGAAGTCGGAGGGCCAAGATGGCATCGAGTTGAACAGGCGAGTAAGATACCTCTCAGTAGACTTCAAAGCGTTCTTTCTGCCCAGTAGAAGGGTACTGCAGTAGGATGGAATAATAGAACAGATGGCGGTTGTTTCGATGGACTCAAATTGGGGCGGAATGAGATAAAATGATCTCATGGGCTCTCCCGTGCCAAGTGCGAAATACGTATTCAGTCGTCCGACAGGAGTTGATTTCTGCACCCCTCAACAAGGGCAATGGAACCACCAACGCGTCGGCATGCTGAAGGGTCATGGCTTCAGTGACCTTGTACAGCGCTGTAGGAGTTATGGAGTATCCAGGTAGTACCGAGATGACGTCAAAGATACATAAAATGTCCTTATTTTGGGGTCTCTGAGTTCTGCCACCGTAGCCAAGTAGTTTCAGGACCAGAGATTTAACACATTGCATAAATAACCCAGAACCAGACCAGGCTTCTGACAATACCCTCATGAGTTCAGGGTGTTCACCTAGGTCGTGTTCAATCGCGCAGGAGGAGGCGGATTTAGTTCTCCCCGCTATCCAGGTTGTTGCGAATAGTTTCTCTTGGTGGTTGGGAATTTCGCGGCCTGGGGATATGCGATCGTCTTCCAGTCTAGACATAGTTCGTTCCTAATCACGGATAAAGACATTCCGGTCGTTACCATTTGGACGAGTGACTATCACAGAGATGACTTGGTCGACATCCCATGGGGTCTTGCGGTAAAGTCTCTTGACAAAATCGGTTGGCAGTGATAAAAATGCCCGCCAAATCTCATCGCGACGCACTGCCGCGTGTGTCCCGTGAGACTCAGGGGTAGTGATGGAGGAATAGCTTATCAAGGCGTAACGGGCACGCATGAGATTAGTGACTGGGGTAAAGTAGCAAGGCGGTTGGAACTCTCGACGTCCCATTCCCGAAGAGAGACTACGCCATACAGCGTCTTCGCAACCCAGGTCATTTTGTATTAGACCTTGGTGGGCTAGAACCGCTCTGGGTGTCAGCGAGTCATGACTTGCGTCGTGTATGAACCGACTACCGACATTTTCCAGCAGCCATATGGCATTATATCGCTTGGGCCGACCAGGCGCAGCAGTTACAGGACATCGTCTAATAATGGCCGCTAGCATGTCCTTGGTGAAGCACAGTGCCGGAATAAGCTCAGGGTTTTTCCCTCCTTCATAAGCCGCTTGCCATTCTGCCTAATAGAGTCGAAGCTGGTGCATGAGCTGTAATATAACGAGTTTGCCTTCGGGAGGATAGGAACGCCAGAAAATGCAGGAGTACGAAAGCTCTTCGAATTAGCTTCGCGGGCCGAGCCTTCTTCCTGCACTACTTTCAGCCATGCCCTAAGTGCTATGATCAGTCGCTGAAGAAACGGGATCCCTCCTCGGTATCGCTGGGGCCTTTTTTTAAGCGCCTCAGCCGTTGACTGAGCCGCTGAAGCATGCCTTGCATCTGGTGCAATAGTGAGATATTTTGCGTGTGCGCCCGTTCGATTGTGAGAGGATCAAGTCCAAGAATGTCGTCAGATTCCTAAGCAGGGAGGACATTGCTGGCCGGAGTACCTTGCCTGAGGGTCAGTCTTTTCATCTAATAGAAAATAGAGTGGGAATGACCAACTCGAACCCAGAGGATTTGGTTAGCGTAACTAAAGTGGGTAGTGGAGGGTGGGATCGACTACTACTAGTCAATTGTCCACGTCCATCCCTCTCCAATTGGCAAATGCATGATACTTGTACCGTACATTGACACCCATACAGGCAAGGACATAGGAATTCCATGTAGGTATATCGTGGCGTCTGTGTGTCTGCGCGCCGTTTTTTTTTATGCTAAAGCCATTCCTGGCAGCGAAGTCTTCAAGATACTCGAAAAGTGGCTGAAAGGTCGGCGCAGGTCTGATTCCGCCATCTGGGGTGGAATCCCCCCTTCGATAGGGTTAGGGATATCGCCCCCGGATGTGGCCGCCATTGGAGACGAGTGTAGAAGAAGCCGTACTAGGATAGTGCGATGCTGTGGTGAGAAGAGGTTGAAATTTGAATTAGATGGTGAAGTGTGAAATGGTAGTCGAGAGAGCTTGGCACATGTTACACGTGACACTCAACATATATATTGACCTTTCCACATTAGTGCTTTTTAACGTCATCCGAGAGCGGTTCCACTAATGTGGAAAGGTCAATATATATTGAGTGGGTTCTGCAGAGATAAGATAAGATAAGATAGTAAATCCATTTAATATGGAGGGGTCACCCAAATTTTTCCAGCCTTCAATCAATCCAGATCTGATCAATCTAGATCCGATCCTTGGGCTGCAGCAATTCGACAAAATGTCCACCGATACCGATGCCGAGGCACCTCACAACCATTTCGACGTGTGTACATTCCCGAGTTTCAGTCTTTTTGGTCTACCCTGGTAGCACCAACAGCCCACATCCCTGTCGTCCTACTAGCTACACAAGTGCTGGACTGATTCGATTCGTTACAGACCATCTTGGTGTTGGATTTTGGCAGCCAAACCTCGCACCTCATCCTCCGACGCTTGCGGGCTCTCAGTGTGTACGCTGAGATGTTGCCCTGCACTGCCAAGCTCGCCGAGCTACCCTGGAAGCCCAAGGGCATCGTCTTATCTGGAGGTAGGAATCTTTCTGGAACTACTCCATTTTATATTCTAACAAACTCGATAGGTCCCTCGTCTGTCTACGATGAAGGCTCGCCTCGTAAGACCCCTATCCTCCACATCTGGCCTACAAGTCTCACTGATTCATGAAAGATGTTGATCCTGCTGTCTTTGAGCTTGGTGTTCCCATTTTGTGAGTGACTTGGAACCTCTTAGTTGGAGAAATGTACTTTGACTGACATAAGTTTATAGAGGCATCTGGTATGACTTCATTTAAGCCCCATCATAGGCGTAGCACTAATTCTGCGAGTCTAGCTACGGTTGCCAGGCGAGTTCTACCATTTTTCATCTCATTCCACTATTTGACTGACTGCGTGCAGGAAATTGCTTGGCAGACAAATTCTGAGAACGTTGCCCGTGGAACAGCTCGAGGTTTGGATTTATCCATGACTCCAAATCACATGATCTAACGACTTGTTTGCGTAGAATATGGCCACGCCGACGTCACCATTCACAAAGTCGACAGCCATGCTGACCGTCTTTTCGCTGGTTTGGGCGAGACCATGCATGGTGAGTTAGCTCCCATTCGATATATAACACCCCGATCTTCTACGGGACCTAACTCTCCGATAGCCTACATGAGTCACTTTGACAAGCTCGTCCGCCTGCCTGAGGGCTTTGTGGTCGTGGCTAAGACGGCCAACTCTGAGTTTGCTGGCATTGCCCACCAGACCAAGCCCATATTCGGTAAGTTTTCCTCCCCATCTCCATCCTTCAAGTCATCTATCCGACCGTGATCTCTTATGTTCTTTTGCCCCTCTACCTCCTTCTTTCGCCGTCTCCATCTTCTTTCTCTTTCGCTTTCCATACCTACCGCGGTCCAAGATCATCAACTCTGTAGCTACCGACTGACTTGAAATACCAACAGGTGTACAATTTCACCCCGAGCTTGAACATGTATGTATATCAGTCCCGTTCTGTCTCTCTCGCTCTTTGTTACTGAACTAATGAATACATCTAACAGACTCCCCGTGGAAGTGAGCTCTTGCGCAACTTCAGCGTCGACATTTGTGGAGCGCAGCCCAATTGGGTAATGAGCGACTTCGTCGAGCAAGAGATTACTCGAATTAGAAAGCTTGTTGGTGATAAAGCCCAAGTCATAGGTGCCGTTTCTGGTGGCGTAGACAGCACAGTGGCGGCCAAGCTTATGACGGAAGCAATCGGTACGATCCTAATGGCTGTCAAGCATGTGAATTGAGGCTAACACGTATTCAGGTGACCGCTTTAAAGCAGTGCACATCGACAATGGTATGACCTGAGCCTCTCACATGAGACCGACCGACACTAACATGTGGTAGGATTGATGCGTCTCAACGAGTCCAAGAAAGTAAAGGAGACGTTGAAAGAGCATCTCGGGATTAACCTCACAGTGGTTGATGGCACCGAGCTTTTCCTTGAGCGTCTCAAGGGCATTACAGAGCCAGAGAAAAAGCGCAAGATTATTGGAGAAACCTTTATCGATCTCTTTGAGAAAGAAGCCATCAGGATTGAAAAGGAAGCCGAGAATACCCCCAACGCAGGAAAGGTTTCTTGGTTTCTCCAGGGAACGCTGTACCCTGACGTCATAGAATCCCTTTCCTTTCGAGGCCCTTCGGCAACGATAAAAACCCATCACAACGTTGGGGGCCTACCCAAGCGCATGATGGATGGCCAAGGCTTACGGCTTCTCGAGCCACTTCGTGAACTCTTCAAGGACGAGGTCAGAAATCTTGGCAGACGCTTAAAAATTCACGAAGATCTCGTCAATAGATTTCCTTTTCCAGGGCCGGGCATTGGAGTACGCATTCTTGGAGAGTGTACACCTGAACGAATTGAGATTGCACGGAAAGCAGACCATATCTTCATCTCCATGATCAAGGAAGCCGGAATCTACAATGAGATTTCCCAAGCCTACGCTGGGTTGGATACAAGCAAGGCTGTTGGTGTTATGGGTGACACTCGTGTCTATGGGTATATCATAATCCTTCGCGCTGTAACAACCAGTGACTTTATGAGCGCCGAGCCTTATGAGTTTTCCTTCTCCCTACTCAAGGCCATCGCCCGCAGAATTGTCAACGAGGTAGATGGAGTTTCCCGTGTCACATATGACCTGTAAGTTCCCTTCTCCCCTGCCGATCTAGAGTGCCAGCTAATATCCGAGATAGATCTTCAAAACCCCCTGGTACCATTGAATTAGAGTAAGAAGGCTATGTTAATTATTGGGGAGGGAACTTGAAATCTTAATATAGATAGCACCTTCTCCTACTATGTTATACAGTGAGCTTTGTGGCTGTGAGCCTTTTTGGTTGCTTAGATTTTATAGTTTAATGCTGAGGGATTTGCTAAAACAGCTAAGTTAAGTAGACATATTAGGCTAACGCTTTTAAAAATGTAGTAGGATACTTGGGAAAATTAGATTAGAAAGTAGAGAAACGTTCTAGACAAGGTAAGATATTAAATACAGTAGTAAACAGTGTAAATAAGAGACTACAAGGACTTGTATTAAGCAACTTTATCTTAAGTGTGTTTGTTCAACCCGCCGGGTAAGCTTTATTTAAATTTTCCGGGCCTAGTGTACTATTTCCGCCCTTTCGTATCCACCACTTTTGCTGACTTAATTGTTACTACGGTGAAATGGTTGAGTTAGCATTAGCACCACTAAAGAGTCAGGTGACTTTGTGACGAACCGTACACTAGATAGTTAGTAATACGAGGGATTCCCAAGGGACAAACCTAGAGTTCAGTCCTGGGTTTATGTTGGCGGAGCGGTTAAGGCGATAGTAAACAAATGTCACCAGAGTGTAAGCAGTGCAGAGCGTGTTGCAATCTTGATTCTGTGTTAACAACTGGCTATCTAAGTTATCTAAAGAGCGTAGCGAAGTGAACTTATATATCCAGTTGGTCTGGACGGGATCGAGGAAAGATTCCTCGATTTGGCTGAGGATCGATGTTTGGATTATCGATCCATCTTTGATTGGTGGCCCGGTCCTAAGTTAATCCGGTTCCGCCTACCCTGTAGGCCCGTTGTCGCGACCATAAGTGTTGGGTCGTGACAGACTTTCGGTCAAGCCTTGCTGGGGAAGATATACCTAATCTTTCTCTTCCAGCACCTTTGGCAATAAACCTTGTCAAAGCCATCTATTGCCCACTGGACCTGGTTTATTATACTTTATTTGCCATAATGGCGCATCAAACAGACTCAGTAACTATCCACGATGTCATCACATTTTTGCAGGGCTTTGACCCAAAGGATAGATTCTTAACTGTTATTGAGAAAGATGATGGTTTTAATTACATCTGCACTTTAATACTGCCTCTTGTATTTCGTCATGCGTCTCAGTCAAAACTTTTACCTCAGGGCAACAGCCTACCAAGGATACAACGAATTCAGAAGATTGTGGTTTTAGAGGGCATATTCCCTGAGCTGTCCTCACGAAAACACGCCACCGCTTCTAAAGGCCCTTTATCATCAGAGCAAAAGACAATGCCAGATCCCAATACGATTCTAGAAGATACCCAATCATTGGACAAAAGCAGAACGCCAGTTCCAAATGAAATTCCACAACATGACACGACTCTGGAAGGGTCCCGATCATCTGAACGAAGTTCAGCGCCAGATCGCAATGAAACCCATGAATCGACCTCACCGCAGCAATGTACCTTGGTTGTTCATAATGCCTCATGCGTTGATTCGTCTTCACTCCCAGCAGATAGTTCTTCTCCAGCAGCTTTATTATCAGAAACTGTTCCATTCCAGGATAGTGCTATAGAGCTCTCGGAGAATTCTTTGTCATTAAGAAACTCCCAGGCTGCTGTACAAGGGCAAATCACTCCTGGGGATCCTGGAACAGAAACGAACCCCATACCAATTACAGAACAGGATAAAGAGAGAACGCTAGATTACACGACCCTGGCGAGCACCATTAAAATCTCTTTAAACTTCTCATTATGGTCTAACTCTCCAGAGTCATTTTGGAACGACTCCAAGGGGGCGCTAAATCCCAAGGACCACAGTCTCATCATCAATCCTAGAATCTTTGTCAAAGACGCACTTGAAAAAAAATCTCAACTTGACGCCAAAATACTTCAAAACAGGTTCTACTCTATCATAATTTACAAGATCTACGAAAAATTGATATCATCGCCACAAATTAGATCAACCTTGGTCAAGCAGTTTCTTAATGGCCTTGGTCTACCATCGGACCCTACGTCTCAATCATTTTGTTCACGGTTCCTTCATGGTGGACGAAGACGGAAAGAATTCTGCCAACGAGTCGCTCCTAATGGCCATGAACCTGATTATGGCGTTTTACTGATCCCAGAGCTTAACGATATGACGTAAGATGTTAAATGTTTATTAATATCACCTTAGACTAACAGCATATTGTAGGTGGGAGCAGTCAACTTCGCGTGTCCGAGAAAGATGCAATGCAATCGTTGATTTATTCAAGGCACAGGGCATCTTTTCGTGGTCAGAGAGGTCTGGAGCTCGATCTGCTGCCAATAGCATCATCTTTTCTCGCCAGCCGCTTTTAGATCATTTCCAAACTCAATACTACAATATCCAAGGCCAGAAACGGCGATTCGATTTTGTAGAAGGTTTGTCTTTCAAGCGAATTTAATCAGATTCAACAATCTCCCAGCCCCTTGCACACTTGATAAAATAGACTGTCATCTACCCCGCTAAGCTTTAATGGAAAATTAAAATCTCGCACATTCGTCCTTTAGTAGTATTCATTTATTGTCTTGCGTGAAAGAAAGCTACTTCCGCGTATTGTAATGTCTAACTCTAATAATGAATTTCGTGAAAAAGAAACCGATTCCTTTGAATAAATGATCCTATTCGCCATATACTTCTGGCTGGGATCAAATCTACAGGCTGTGTAGTTAAGGTCGGGAAATATGTAACACTGCGAAGAAGTAAACTTAATATCTTTACTAGCCCCTTTATAAAGCTAAGTGAATATATTCCTCTTTATGCTTAAATTATTACTTTCTAATATCTTATAGTGTAATTTCAGCCAATATTAAAGAAAGACATCAGCTGCAATCCATCTATAAGTACAGTGATTTCGCCCTGTTCTTTTGATTTGCAACCTACTACCAGTGAAAACATATTCTTTATACAAAATGCGTGGTGCGTATGATACAACAGGTCTATTGTAAGTAATACATAATTTGAACTATTAAGAAGCCATGTTTACGGTGATAAGATATGTCCCAACGTCCCTGCGTTATCATTATTCCCGCGGCGGCTTGAGCTGATTGAATACATGGGCGGGGGGGCAGTCACACAACGTCAACTCGCAATAAATGATTCTAGCATGCGTTTCGCATCGTCTTGTGACTCCATAATCGCAGCTCGCATGACAAGCATTCGTACAAGACCAAGTAAAAAGGAACTTCGATCTGGGTGGTCGTGAGGCATAGCATTAGCTGCCTCGTCGATAAAATTGACTGCTTGATCAAAGTCGTCTAATGAGTTCGTCTGCTTGCATAACATGTGATACAAGCTTCCAAGGCTGTTTGAAGTATTAATACGAGCCAGATGGTAGTCAGAAGGCATGGCATCAAGTGCCTTGTTCATTAAGCTGGCTGCTTGATATTGATCCCATGTGGTTGTATCGCTTTCTTAAACAGACTCCAAGGTTATGCAAAATGGTAATGCGATCTGGATGGTAATGAGGCATGGCATTGATTGCCTTACTAAAAAGGCCGATTGCTCGATTGAGGTCATCTATTGATCCTATCCGCGTATATCGCTTGCTAAGCGAGTTTCCGAGGCCGTCTGAAGACAAAATACGATCTGGATGGTCATAAGGCATAGTATCGGCTGCCTCGCTCATAACGCTGATTGCATGATGAAGGTCGTCTATTAATCCTGTCCGCTTAAATCGGGTTGTCGTGAAGCGTCCCCACGCAACTAACCCCAATTCCAATCCTAAGACCGCTGACCACCGCTGAGACTTGAAAGAAAATTGCGATGACATCACATCTATAGGAAATCCTATAGATGTGATGTCATCAATGTCATCAAAAGACCAATTCGGAATAGTCTTTGAAACTAATTCTGGTCGCTATGTCACGCGCGCATAAGCAGAGCAATAAAGAGGAGATGGCTGGCCTGCGGCACAAACTGACTGTCTAAAACGGGAGGCTGGCGACAATCAAGTATAATGGCTAAATATCAGATGAGCCTTAACCACAAGTGAGGCCCCTATATGTTCTTTTTTAATAAGTGAAGTCTGCTATTTTTAGATGTTCTTAGCTAAAAGATTAAAGGTATATGCTTTTGTTTTTTAAAAATGTAACTTATAGTACTAGTTTCTCTTAGTTTAGCTTATAATATTAAATAAAGCTATTGTATTATTTTCTTAAAGAAATACTAATATTTAATTCTTAGGATTTAAAGTACTAAAACTTAAATAAATATAATTAAAATAAATAATATATACTTTACTTAACTAATATAATTATATAAATAAAGTATATAACTTAATATAAGTACTTAAGTTTTTTAATTATATTATTTACTATTATATTTAATATTAATTATATTTAAGAATATATTTACTTTTTAACTAAATTTCCTTAGTTATTTTAAAATAATTTTAATAATATTATTTTAATATATTTACTTTTATTATATTTACTAATAAAAAATATTTTCTTTTTAATATATCTTATAAAATAAAAAGTAATTTAAAATAATTACTAGACTTATTAAATAACTTTTTTAAAAATAGCTATAATATTTTTATGTTTTATAATAGTATAAATTTTAAGAAAGTATATCTTATAAAAAATAAAATAAATTATTATTATAAAATAATTTAAAGTAAATAACTAATATAAGTTTTTCTTTTAGTAATATAATATAATATTTAATAAGTTTAGTTTTTATAAGAAATTAGTAATTAATAATAAAATAATTTTTAAAAATTTAAGTATAAATTAAAACTTTATAAAAAATATTTATTTTATTTTCTTATATAATTATATAATAAACTTAAAAGTTTAATAACTTTACTTAAAACTAAAAAAGTAATATATAATTTAAATAGTAACTTATAATACTTATAGTTTTTATTTTAATTTAAGTTTTTTTTTTACTTAAAACTTAATTATAAAAATTAAAAGTATTAATTTTTATTATTTAATAAGTTTTCTTAACTTATAACTTTTTTTAATAATATTTTAATTTATTTTTATTACTTTTATATATAAAATATAAGTTATTATAATATATTATTTAGCTTAAGTAAATATATAATACTTTTATAATAATATTTATTTAAATTTTATTTTTAATAATCTTAGGTTTTTTTTTATTTTTTTAATATAATAATAGCTTTTATTATAACCTTTTTTATTATAAAATTTATAAATTATTTTAAATTAGTAATTTACTTTCTTATAGCTTTTTTTACTATAAGTATTATAAGTTTTATTAAACTTCTTATAATTTAAAATATTAATATTTTTTTTAATTAAGTTTTATTATTTTTAATAATATAATTTTTTTTTTTTTTTTAATTAACCTAAGATTAATACTTAATAATTTAGTTATTTTTTTTATTTTTTTATTTTTACTTTTATTTTTATTATTAATTATTAATTATAATAGTTTTTTAAGTAAATATAATAAATATAATTTTTTATTAGTTAATTTTATAAATTTTATTTTTAACTTTTAACTTTAAGTTATAATAATATATTTTCTTTTTTAATTTTTTAATTTAATTAATTTTATTAAGTAATTAAATAAAATTTAAAATATATTTATAATATAATTTTTTTTATTTAAAATTTTAAAGTTTTTTTTTATTTTTTTTAAGCTTTATTAATAATTTTAAAAGATTTTTTTAATTATTTTTTTAAAGTTTTTATATTTTTTAAAAAAAATTTTTATTAATTTATTTTATTAAATTAAATTATTTTTTTTATTTTTAAAAAATATTTTAAATTGATTAATTATTATATTTTTATATATTAAATTTATTTTTTTAAATTGTTTTTTAAGAATATTTTTAAGTAATAATACTTAAAGTAAGTTTATAATTTATTAAAGAATTATTAAAATTTAATAATATTTTTATTAAACTTCTTAAATTACTTAATTTTTAAAACTTTTCTTAGTTTTAATTTTTTATTTTTAAGAACTACTAATATTATAATAAGTATTACTTAAGGGTTTACTTTTAGTAAATTACTAAGTTATTACTATAAGTTATTAATAGTTTATATATATTAAGTAATAATTTATTAGTTTATAAAATATTATATATATAAGTTTTAAATTATATATTTTATATTTTTTATATAAGTTTTAATATTTTATTTTTATTATTTATTTTATTTATATTTTTATTTAAAAGCTTTTATTAAAATATTTTATTAATTATAAGTTATTTTTACTAATATATTTTTAAATTTAATAATATTATTTAACTAATAATAACTTAAAACTTAACTTTTATAATTAATATTATATTTTAAAATATTAAAAATTAATATTTATATTTTTTATTTTATATTACTTATAAAATCTAGTAATTATTTAAATAAAAGTTATTAATATATAATAAACTATATATTAGATAATTAATATAAAATAAATTCCTAAGGGATAAACCTAGTAAATAATATATAAATTATAATACTATATTGCAAATAAGAGTAAAAAGTTCTTTATTATCTAAGATAATCTAAAAGCAGTTATTCTTATTAAGACCTTAGAAAATCTATATAATATTATAAATAGTTGTTAAAACTATAGCTATCCTAGATACTATAGCTGGTAAAAGGCTAAGAAAAGGAACTAGTAGGGTGGTTGCTAGGCCCAGCAATATGGAAAGACTAAGACTATATATATAAAGCTTAAGATTATTTGTCTTATGTGTTTAAGAGCTGATAGTTATGTACATTGACCCATCCCACGCAGCTATTGAAGTGCTGCTACGTCGCGCACTACCCATGGACCTAGAGTCCTCCCTATTAACCTTTCCATATTGGTCATTTTTGTGCGTTTCCGCACAAAAATGACCAATGTGGAAAGGTTAATAGGGAGGACTTGCGGGGTATGCAAGGGGGGTAAAGAAAATACCGCTGGACTACTTTATGAATT